TCTTGTTGTTAGCCTAGTTCTATTTTGTAATCCAAATCTCCAAAAAGAGTCACTCTTGAGCCTTAAGATTAGACAAAGATTCAAACTTCTCTGGAAAAGCTTTTGTTACAACTTTTATCTAGATGCATTTAACGGGCTTGGATTGCACTGGGGAAAAAAATGGGTTTCTATTCTTTCTCCTTTTTTTTTCTTTTAGCATTCTGTTTGGTTGCCATGTAGCTAATATAAGGGTAAATTATATGGTAGTGGTGACTCTGGCATAATAAAGCTCTGTGAACAGGGTGAATTTGTCTTTTTTTACAAATGTATTGGCTGTACTTGTACACCCTAGCCTTTGATGCTCTTGCCACATTTGTGATTCATAGTTGGAAACAGCACAGCAGTTCAGTTACCGTAAGAGAAGAAACCAGCAACTATACAATTTCAGCACTGATATTGGAAATGACCTAGAAGCAATCGTCAAGGACAGGGCTATACCTCAGACCTTCGGTTAGCCCTACTATCTAACGTCACACTTTGTACAGAACAAAAATGTAAATGTATTTATTTTGCAAATGACTGAGTGAAGCTAAATTAATACCATATCACGTGTAGACTTCAACTTATGACTGATTTAATTAGTATAAATTAATTTAGACCTAGAATTTAGTTCTAAGCAAAGAATTTATTTGTAAAGATAATCCAATTTAAAAGAGAGCTAAATAATAAACTATCACTTTCTCTAATTCACTAAATTGGGTAATTCTCAATGAAATACACGAGTTTAACGAGAAGCTATGAAATATGGTTATTTTGCTGACTATTCTTGCACAGTTTGTTAAAGGAACACTCTGAGAACATAATGAGGCCAAGAGAGTTTGTGTGGACTATCCTTTCATCTACAATAACTTGGATAATCATTGGAAGTCTAAAGGATTTACCTAATTCAGCTTTGTAAGAAATTCATTCAATTTAGCTTGTCTCTTTCATTGAGAATGTTGAGCATATTATTCTCTGAGCTATGAGTGACACAGTTAAACACCATAGGGCAGACAAAATGTAGCCAGGGAGTTCTTGTCTTACTCAGTCCTTATCTTGCTATGTGACTCTTTGAGAACTGCTTAGCTTAAGTTAACTCTTTTGGTTCCTTAACCTGAAACGGGAAGTGAAGATATTTACTCAAATCCTGATAGACACACAACACACTCGTCCCCTTCCTTATATGAAACAAGGCTCCCCTTATTCCACTGAGCTGATGAATAGGGATCATTTACCACTGTTCACTCTGGGTATTCTCAAAGGGCATTATAATTGTCTTCATCCTATTGAAGTACTCCCAAGGCTCTTTCTTGAAATCTCATGGTACCTCAATTACCCATATCACTTTCTGAAATTTCCTTAAAATCAGGATTGTCACTGCCTGATTTTTACCACAGGAATCCAGTGTAACAGTTAACCATTGTGTAAAGTCACAGCATAAAACATTATAAATCCTCAGGAAAAGTACACTTCTTAGATGTTCAGATCGAATACTTGGGTTTCTAAACTGTGTCCTACTTCAATGTGAAATCACTTCTCTTCATTTGCTATGAAAACAAAAACTACACAAGTTCTTTATATTCAGACATAAAACACACATTTCTATCTATCTAATTGGGTCTTTATATCTGTCGGTAAGTTGGAGTTATAGTTTTCAGACCCTGCTGGATGGTTTAATAATTTCACATTTTCATATACTATTGTTAAAATTTAGAGGACTGTTGGGGCATCTGGATGCCTCAGTCAGTTGAGCATCTGACTTCAGCTGAGGTCATGATCTTCTAGTTCATCAGTTCAAGCCCCACATCAGGTTCACTGCTATCAGCGCAGAGCCTGCTTCAGATCCTCTGTCCCCCTCTCTCTGTCTTCTCCACTTGAGCTTGCTCTCTCTCTCTCTCTCTCTCTCTCTCAAAAATAAATAAACATTTAAGAAAAATTTAGAGGACTATTAAGCCAGTAAAGATGAATTTGCAAGTGTTGGTAGATGGTTACACTTCCAAAACATCTTATAAACATCTATGTTATTTAGTTGTAGCTTCATGAGGAAGAAATTAACTTCATGTTGAAGAAATTTGTTTATTATATACTTTGTGAGAAAAACAAAGCTGGAGCTCCTCAGGTGAGGGATGTGACTTTCTTCACAAAGTAAAGTGGGTCTTGATGCCATGGTTTCCCCCTCTGGACAAGTATGACTATCTGGGAAGGAACATCCTGAAATTTCCTGTCCAGTTGGACTCCTTCCTGAGCATGTAGGTAGCAGAAGCAATAACCTCTGCCAAGCAAAGCAGCACAGGGCTAACAAACTTCTTCACATGTTCAAGGGCTTTCCCAAAGCTCTTTCACATTTCCAAATGAGTCAGCATATCCTAAACTCATTTTCCTTATTTGACCGCAATGGAAATGCTGAAAGTGAATTATCTACTTACTGAGATTGGAATGAAGAAGGCACTAAGTTCTTAGTTCAGTATGATTATGACTGGTCAAAAACTCAAAACATTTTCTTTGAGAAATATTTTGCAGCAGCTACTGCTAAAAAACAACAAGAATATCCATTATGCTACTCAAATTCTAATTTTTTGAAAAGCTGGAATCCAAAAAATTCAGAGGTATTTCTCAAGGAGAAAATCCTACAAGAAATGGCATTTTGATAAAAAGGGAGTAAAAAAAAAAAATAATTCCCAATGTTTTCCTTAAAGGAAAATGTTTTATTTGTGGTAAGCATAAAACAGTGAAAAAATGTGGCACTCTCATGCACTTGGGATGTTCACATAACTTTCTTTGAGTAGTTTACCAAAGAAACTTGGTACAGAAAGACACACAGATAGCCCATCAACAAATTAAGCTAATACTGTATTTAATTTCCTGAGAAAAAAACATTCTAACCAAATTCATTTTGTTATAATTAGTGACTTACATTTTTAATACAAACTCCAGGGCAATTTTAAAAGCTGGAAAGAGATTCAGCAAATGTTGAATTCCAAGCAATATCCTGAGAATGTGCATTTTTTTTTTTCTGCCCAACTCTGGGTTCTATTTGCCAATTTATGAGAACTGGCACACACTGAGAAATTTTTTTATTCATTCAATAAATATTTATTAAGAACCCACTATATACCAGGCAGTAGGGATACAGCCCTAAAAGGAGAGACATGGTTCATGTCCTCAAAGAGTTCATATGCTAGCAGATTAGGCAAATATGAAGTATAGACAAGATGTCAAATTGGATTAGGAATTGTGTGAAATGAGTTAAAGCATTAAACAACTGTCCCCAGCTTTCCTAACCAAATGCAAGCACAGGATAAATGCTTAACTGAGAGATAACTAAACAAGACATAGTCCTATCGCATTTTTTCATTTGTGTTTTAGCTAAAATGCCTAATGGTAAATAAAGTAATTCATAACAGGATTATTTTGGTTCTATCACTTATTTGTATGGAGCTGGTAATCTCTTCTTCTTAAAATAAAAATCCTAAATTTTGATGTTTGCACCCTGACCATTATTTATTTTTGTCACATCTAAATGAGTTATTCTATTTAATTAAGCAGATATTCAAAAATGTTGCTTCATAACAGAGTTTATGTTGTTTCCTTTAAGTTTGAATTAATTAGTTGAATTAAGACTTCATTTAAATTGTGCAAAGATTTTTATTTTTACACATTTTTAAATTCAATTTTATAACCTGTAATGGTAGCTACCCGTTACAGAATATTTACTATGAGCTAAGTGGGTTGTTTTTTGGTTTTGTTTTTTTTTTTCTTTTTACATAATTACTTGTAAATTTCCCCTCCCACTGTAACCCTGCAAGGTACTATTTTACAGATGGGGAAACTGAGATGCTGAGAAGTTAAGAGAGTTTTCCAGAACCACACAGCTAGTTAGTGAAAAGACAGAAATGGAACCTCTTGATTATCTGACTGGTAAATTTATTCTCTTAAGTATCCTAAATTGAGAAGAGAGTTCTCACCCACCCTCCAGGGCTACATGCAGTGGGATTACTCACTGTGCAACATTATAGTGATGTTGTAATAATTCAATTAAAGCTTTCAAGCAACCAGAGTCCAAGAAAACATCTATGGTGCAATAAAACATCTGATTAACTAGTGAAACGAAATGTGAAATAACGTCTCAGGTAAATAGCAAGTAAATGGAGGGTGTCTAACTACCAAGTCTTTGCTAAAATGAGTAAACCACAGCAAGCATCGTTACTGGTAACCTCCAAGCCTGGCTGTGTGAAACTCTCCTAAAAAGAGGGAAAATTGTCTCACACTAAGTAGGGGGTTGGCCTGGAAATTCATAAAGGAATGCTGGGCCTGGGAGAGCTTGTACTTTTTGTTTTGTCCTACCTTCAGTGGGGCTGGTCCTATAACAGCCCCACCTAATCACTGCCACATCACCTGCTCACGTAGGGATGGTCCGCATTCGGAGAGCAAAGACCAGCGCACGGGATCAGATAAGGCCGGATCACAACCACCGTCCTTTGCAAAAAGCATCAGATGGCCCGAAGAAAACATGGGCAGCTTTATGAGTGAGTAAGAATGTACACTGGAAAGACTAAAATGAAATGCATATGGATCAAATTGCTCTGCACCAACCTCCTAAGAGCTCCCCTCTGTCGTTGGCTCTCCAAGGGAACCACCACAGCCAGCTCACAGCACCCAGACAGCTTCCACCCGCAAATTACATATTGTAAACGAAACTGAGATCCACCCCGTGGCGAAGTTTCCTAAGGTCTGTAGCGCTTTTAAGGGCCGTCTTTCTCCCTCCGGTACAGTGGCTCCACCACACAAGAAATCCACTAACACCGCCGGTTCGGCGGGCACCAACGGTGGGGAATCGCTTAAAAAGAAACGTCACTTTAGGCTTGGGGGCAGCATGCTCGTCATTCAATGCCCTGCTGGTTTCTTAACACGCATATGATTAATATTGGTACTCAGGAAAGAGAACTTCTTCTGACCTTGAGCGTGCGCGCTAAATAAATTACCTCAGAACGAAAGTGGTGGGATCTCATAACAGCATCTGGGGAGAAAAGAGAAAAACGAGACTTCATTTAACTCCTTGCTCTTCACCTGCCGAGTTACTAAGGACTTACCTGAGGGACAAGGGTCGGGAAGACACATTCCGGACGCCTTAAATTCAGTGGGGACATACTATAGGGCGGGGAGGTTACTAGGCCATCGATCTCTAGGTGAGTTCTCCGCGAGAAGTTTCAGGGAAAGTTCTGGGAGAGTTGGGGAGCCCCGAACTCTCCGTGCCTTACTTTCTTACCCCTAAGCTCCAGCGATGGATGGGTGGAGGGAGGCTGCCGCAGCCCCGGATTCCGCTCCAATTACCCTTAGGGCTCTAGCAAACTGCCGCTAAGAACCGGCGTCGGTGCCTCCTCCCCTCCCAGCTCTGGGCATCACCGTGGGTATCCCAACAGAGACCGGAGGAAGGCGGTGAGGGCAAAAAGGGCAAGCAAAGAACGTTATATACATAAACGTACTCAGCTTGCGAAGTGGGCAGCGATGGGGGTAGGGACCGCAGCGCTGAAGGGAGAGAGAACCCCACTTCACTCTCCAAATCGGCTTAAATGTTCCTCCTAGCCCGAAAGAAAGCCGTCGCGGCGTGTCTTACCTCGGCTCCTTGAACGACCCGAAAAGACCGATTTCATCGGATGCCTCCCTTTCTGGAGCCTGCGGTGCCAGCAGCAGAAGAAGACGATGGTGGCGATGGTGCCCAGCAGAAGCAACAAGAGGAAGAGGGCACATTGGATGCTGTAGGGTCTCAGCAAGACGAGGAAAGCCGCGGCGATCATGGTGCGGGCGAGGCGGGGGCGGCTCGGCGGCGGGGCTGGAGGGCGGCGGCACAGGCACCCGCGCCGGGCGCACCACGGAGCGGCGGGCACGGGCGAGCGCGGCTCAGCGCGTCATGCCCGGCGCTCGCGGCCCCGCGCCCAGCCCAATGGCTGCGCACCCCGCGCCAGCCGCGCTATGCGAGTGATCCAGGGCTGCGGGGAGCGCTTGCCATGACTCAGCAGACGGCGACGAGGCAGGAACTTGGCGGAGTCCCCCCCCCTCCCAGGCGCCCCCGCCCCGTCCAGTGTGCGCAGCAGCCTCCCCCTGGCGCAGCCCCGCCAGGGACGCGGCGGGCTGGGAGGAGCAGCACTGCCGCCGGCATGCCAGTTACCCATCTGTCCCGGCCGCGCACGAACCAGGCTGCCGCGCCATTCCTCGGCATCCCACATGCCGCCGGGCGCACGGTCGGAGCGAAGGGACTCCGGCGCCCGGCTGCGGCAGGGTGAGTGGCGGCGGCGGCCCGCGGGGGGCGGGAATGGGGCGCCGCGGCGGGGGCTCGCCTGACGACATCACTGGCCGGGCTGCGGCAACGCAGGCGCGCGGACATGGCTGCGGGTGAGCCTGCGGCAGCCTGCGGCAGCCAGGCCTGAGCTGCGCCCGGGCCTGAGCGCCCAGCGCCCTCCCGCGGGGCCGCCCGCCAGTCCGCGCGGTCCGCGGGTGCACAGATCGCGCGCCTCTCCGCTCCCCGACACCTGGGGCTTCCACCTATCCAGCCTCCCTGGGCCGAACGGCTGGGGAGCCCGGCGACAGGGGGCGCCAAGGAGCCAGGGGGAAAACCGTGAGGCGCTGGCGGGAGCCTGCAGGCGGTGCTACCCCCACCTCCCACCTCCCCGCGCCCCGCCCCGAGGTTGGGGCTTTGGAGGATGCAGCCGGGTGAGCTATTGCTTGCGGGGGGTTCCTCGCACGCTGAAGCGTGAATGCCGGGAAGGGCCTTCCCTGGGAATTGGGGTTTTCCAAGAACGGGAGGCCCACCCTCTCCAAGCCTCTCTAAAGTGGGAGCGCTCCCCGGTAGAACGCTCCGGTCTGCAGACGTGAACTGTGACACCCCCAATCTAGGTGCTATTTCGCAGCCGAGAAACGGGCACTTCCATGCATTTACCGTCAAGCCCTGACTCATCTAGTGCGTTTGGAGAGAGAGGCAATTTAAGATTTAGAGACCTGGCAGATAAAGGAAGTTGGAGATTGGCTTGTAAATATTTTGAGGAGAAATATTTCAGGGAGTGTGAGGAAATAATGATCTGTCACACTCAAAATGAACACATTCCCTCCGGCCCCCTCCCCTTTCTTCATAACCAGCAAAAAGTATATTGTTGATGCCGGGAGATTTTACAGTGGTCGCTGGTGCAATGCCAACGCAGAAGGTGTGGCGGGAGCGCTGCAGTGTGCCTTTCTGCGGACAGCCACCGCCACCTGGCCCGGACGCCGCTGCGGCTGCAGTCTGCGGCATCGGTTGGCCTTGGCAGGCCCAGCGCTCGCTATACCGCGTTAAGCTGCACCCTAGGCAATGCAGGCGTTTCCTGTGGGGGGCTGTTTTTAACTTGTTTTGTTTTATTTACCCGCATAAGGCAACTGCAATTATAGTGACATAAAGTAACATATTACTGCATTTGTGGAGTTTCTAATAACTACAAAGGTGGACTCTTACTTTGGAACATTTGAGACACTGAAGAAATTGTCATAGAAAAGTAATTTGTAAAATTCTGAAAAGCATTCAAAGAATAGATGACAATACTTAAGTTTTATTTGCGTGTAGGAATTTAAAATCAGTATTATTTTCTAACTATACAAAATCAACAGTGCAACTCTGCATAAAAGCTTAACCATTGATGTTCTTAAGGCCTAGAACACGTTACCATGTGTAAGCATTAAAGGAAATTCCAAAAGGCATTGGCTAATGCATTTCCTAAATGCCAGATTCATAAACGTGGGAAACCACAGATTAAATGTTCTTATGTACAACATGTTTCCTAAAACAAAATAAACAGTCAAGTTGTTGACATGTTGTATCACATTCGGTCGTTTGGGTTTGAAGATGCAAAGACCTTGCTTGCAGATGCTGTATAAGATGCTGTATATGGGAATGTCGAATGTCAGAGAATAGGCTATATACTACAAGTCAGGATAGGCTTCAGAGGCCCCTGGCACTCGCGGTCTGACAGGTAGGATTGTCTCATGTTCACATTGCTCAAAGGTCTCCTGATACCGCAGCCCACTGCAGTGAGAGATTGTACTCCTGTCCATTGTGCAGGAGTACTGAAGACTGTCCACAATGTGTGGCACATCAGGAAAGGAAGAATTCTTTACTGCATTGACTCCCAGTGGCCCAGTAGAGTAATTTAAAACAACAACAAAAATGAACTAACCTTTTGCAAACATTGGGAGAAATGACTAATAGAATTTAGAAAGGTCAGTTTTACTTTGATACTTCTCACTGACTAAAATTTGTGAGTGAGCTAAAATGGTCTAAATATCCTTGAAACATGTCTAAGACCACAAACACAGCATAGTAACCAATTTGCTCCAAACTCTGCATTTTTAACAACAAAAAGCAACTAAATAGCAATTATGGTTTTCTGAGCTATTACTTTAGCACAATTGTTATCATCCTGTGTCTTGCTGCAGCCATTTATAAGTTTCAAGTATACACAAGAACATCATTTATCTCTCTTGGCAGACAAATGCTTTAACTGCGTGCAGTAGGATTATAGATATTTCTTTTTAGATGCATTTGTGTCTGTTCTTTACATCAGTTACCTCAAGGATACTAATAATAAGGAAACCAGATCATTGACAGAATTTAGTATTTAGGTTCCATTGTTTTCTGATTTGTTGCTAATTTATCATTTCCATCTCCAAATAATGGCATGTTATTAATTTCTTCTTTCCGTGTGTTTATGTAATGCTAATGCATTGTGGAATTTAATAAATATTAAATTAGCCAATCAATCCTTTTTGGAAGTTAATTTAATAGAATTCATATATTTTCTTTCTGCTAGGTTTTCATTACAAAGAATAATTGACATTGTATCAAAGTCACAAAAAAGATTAAGGTTTGGCGGTAGGAATGGAGGAGGAAGGTCCTTGGTCAATGTTTCATATGAAGAAATGAGCAATCAAGATGGAAAAGTATATATAATATTTTGACTTTTTATGATAGTGAGTTAGCACGGTCACCCAAGAGAAGACAAATGAGTTGATAAAAATAGGAGTGTTTGGTGTCAGGAATGTAGAAGATGACCTATCACGCAGCCCTTCTTCCCTTTGGATTCTCAGCCAAATTGGATTGAGAACACACATGAGGAGCCAAAAGGAAACAAAAATATTAACTTTATTCAGAGTAAAGTCAGATTGAAGAACATGGCTTAGATTCAAGGCCAAAATGAGATATCTTATTTCTTTTCTCCTAACTCTGCACACCCATCCAGTCACAGCTGAAGAACTACAGGCCTTCCCAACACTAGGGCACTAGGATTCTACTTCTTACCAGGAGACCAGAGGCCAAAAAGAGCGTGACACTCTCCCACTCATGAGGTTTGCAGCATTAGTGAACAAGAGACAGGACCATATGTGAGAAGGGGACCTTTCATATATCAACTGGAAGGCCCTCCTCAACTTCCCCCATCACTGAGTCATTTGCCTCCCAAAGTAAGAGTGAGTAACGGACTTTAATAAAGATAGAAGCTCTGTGGTACTTCTCTAAGAGATGGGAAGTTGTGGCACAAATTCCTAATTCATGGGTCAGGAGAAGCATCAGGAAGAAAAGGAGGCTCCACCCTAAGCTTTGTGGTGACCAACTTAGAGAAAGGGAGGAATGAAGATGACTCAACCTTTGAGCTAGGGTGGTAGAACAGTTCTGTAGGAAAAGAGGACAAACTGAATCTTAGACCCATTGAGATAGAGGCACCAGAATGTCCATGTAAAATTATCCAACAAGCCCACGGAAACATGGGTAGAAAAGTCAGAACCAGAGACAGACTGGGAGTCATGAACATAAATTACAGTTGAGGTCATGATGGACAAAATGACTAAGGAAGAGGAACTAGGAAACCAGAACTTTGGAGACAACTTTCATTTGTGGACTGCAGAGGACAGCAGAAGGCAAGTCCACGGAAGCCAGAGTAGGAAGTGTTCCAATTTAGTGGCACACTAGAACAGAGGCACAAATGGGAGGGGAAGGTGTGCAAGGACTGAGGACTGGTGATGAGGTGACCTTCCAGAGTACTGATTCATTGTGGTGGGAGAGGTTAAAACCAAACATCAACATGTTGAAGAGGGAGTAGGAGGTGAAAACAGTAGAGAACCTCTGTCCACAATCTTTGGAGAAATTTAACCAGAAAACTTAAATTCTAACTCTAAAAGTTAATTCATCTAAAAGGGACAAGTAGAGAGAGCTGGATTAAAGCCTGAGTAATGGTTTTTTGGTTTTTGTTTGGTTTTTGTTTTGTTTTGTTTCTGTTTTGTTTTGTTTTTTTGATCAGGATAGGGGTACCTAAAAAAGTTTCCAGGGAACCTGAGAAATGGAACCAACAGAGGGAGGGGAAATTGAGAGTTAAAGAGAGGAGGGAAGAAGGCATTCTTCTGGCCAGGTGTGGTTTAGCTGTTTGTTTTAACTTACCTGCAGTCTTCTCCCCACCCCCACCCCCATGGGTTCTTTCTGCTCTCCAGCTGCTTTTGACTCTGCAGTTAACACTCACCCTGACTGGTTAGGATGGCTCCCTGCCCATGGTCTCCCCACCATCCCTGACTACTAACACTCAAACTAGGAGAGTGATTTTTTTTTTAGACAAAGATAAGGAATGTCTTGGAATGTAGCCCAGGTTATCTGTAAGCTTTTATTACAACTTAAATGGAAGTGAGTGTATTACCCAACTGATAATCACACAATGACACTACATAAAAATATGACCCCTTTGGAAACAAAAAGTGTAGGTAAGAATGGCTCTAGCAACAAAGTTTTAGA